CCTTTAAAAAAAAAAAAAATAAAAAAAAAAAGTACAGAGTTTTACATAGTTGGTTTTAGCCTAGTTTTTGCTGTTTTTACTGTAGTTTGGTGTCTAGTAGAAGTTTTTAGGCGATAAGAGACTTTGGGGAATCCATTTACCTGTCTCTCCACCCCAACCCAGCACCCATACCTGTACTGGATTATATCGAAGATGCCAGGGTTTAAGGTCTGCGCCTCCTGCCCAAGCTTGTTCTCAATCAGCAGCGAACAACAACGCTGCCTCTACTGCTTGGGAGAAGCCCACATTTCATCTAGGTGTAGTATCTGCTTGTCCTTCCCAAGCTGTAACCAGGAAGGCGGGCTCTCTCCCTCAAGAAGCACCTCATGGAGGTCTCCATGCAGCTGCAATGAGATCCAGGCCAGGGCACCCCCGCTGTACATCAGCCTGAGAAACCCAAGAACGCGTCTCTGACCACGGAGATCGAGTCCAGTTCTGCTGGTACCAGTACAACGGACCCCATGCTGGGGTCTACTCGAGAGGCAAGGAAGCATATGCCATATGCACAGCAGTAAGTCTTCCTCCAGGCCCAAGGAGGAGGACGCACCCTCCACGAGTTGCAGCCATGGAGAAGCTGTGCGTTCGCAGGCTCACAAGCATGACAAGAAATCACACAGGCCAGTGGATCGGCCAGTACCGAGCACCAAGACGCACACACCTTCCAAGTCAGCCTGCCCTAAGTCAAGGGAACTGGCGGCTTTGAAACAGTCCTCCGCTCCAGCTCCGCTTCCAGCTACAGAGCACATGCCACTGACTCTGGAGAGGTTGGAGATGGCGCCTGGGCCTCATGAATGGTTCGCTATAGGGGAAGCGAGGTCCCTAAGCCTTCCTCTACAGTCTGTGCCTAGGGAAGTACAATCTCCAGCCCAGACTTAACTCAGTCGAATTGTGCTTCTATCCTTTCCCCTATGGTTTATAGCAGGGGTTCTCAACCTTTTTCTTTCTGATGCCCCCACAACATGCTACAAAATCTCCACGGGCCACTTGTACCACAACAATTGTTTTTCTCCGTATAAAAGCTGTGGCTGGCATTAAGGGTAGGAAGCAGGGTAATTGCCCGGTGATAATTGTCCAGGCCACCGCAAAACTCAGTTGCTCAGGCTTCAGCTTCAGCCCCAGGTGCTGGAGCTCAGGGCCCCGGGCTGCAGTCCTCCATGGTGGGGCTTCTGCTTTCTGCCCTGGGCCCTAGTCTAACGCCAGGCATGCTTGGCGGACCCCCCCAAACCAGCTTGCGGCCCCCCAGGGGGCCCCGGACCCTTGCTGGGAACCACTGGTTTATAGGGTTCCAACAATACCACCTTTGGAACCGAAATCCTAGTTTTCATCATCAGAGGATTTGGATGGAGCACAAGGGCCACCCATCCGCTACTGCCACTACAAGTTACCCAAAGGGGTCTCCAGCTTCATAGCAGTACCCTCCTCTCCCCCAGCAGAGAAGCCACTAGTAACCCACTCCATGGGGCCCTCTGCAGCATTTGCTGGATCCATCCTGTTGGCTGCACTGGGGGTCCTGGCCTCAATATCCACATTCAGAATCTTCCCGTTCAGCAAGAGAGGGTTTGACCCTATCCCCACTTCAGGAACATAACTACAACAGTAAATGTCGAAAAATCAACTCTGGTTCCTACACTGTCCCTGGATTTCATAGGGGCCTCCATCAGCATGGTCTCAACATGTCCCAGGTCCCAGACCGTGCAGGAACTCGTCACTTGAGTAGTCAACGGTCCTTCTGTTCCGGACAGGAATTGCCTATCCCTCCTTGGCCACATGGCAGCTTGCACGTATGTCATCGCCTTCACTCACCTTCGACTTGGCCGTCTTTAGCTGTGGCTCCAGAAGGTCTATTCACCTATGTGACATACTATGGACTTTCTGTTGTCAGTTCTCCCCCCCACCCCTCTCCTCGAGGTGCTTTCCTCCCTCCGGTGGTGGATGGACCTGAGCCAGGACTGCACCGGGATGCCTTTCCTCCCATCCTTCCTGGACACAACGATCATCACGAACATATCACTCGCCAGATGGGGTGCCCACATGGGTGAGCACATGATGCAAAGGTCTTGAATCCCTCGGGAATCTAGAATGCACATCAATATCCTGGAGCTTCAGGTGGTATGGAGAGAGTCTCTCATTTCTTCTGTCCATTCACTCTCATCATGTTCTCATTGTGTCTGACTACACCACCACCATTTATTACATCATCTAACAAGGGGGCATGAGGTCAACTACAGTCTGTGTGGAAGCGGTTCATCTATGGGATTGGTGCATTGCCCATAAGATCCTGTTGTCAGCAGCCTATCTTCTGGGGACTCAGAACATGACTGTGGACTCTCTCAGCAGAAAATACGTAGTCGATCACGATTGGGAGCCTCACAACACGGTAGTTAACGACATTTTCAGCCTATGGGGGACTCCAACCAGGGACCTCCTTGCCTCCCACACTAACAGCAAGTGCAGTACGTACTGCTCCGGGGGGGCTCTGAACCCATTCCCAAGGCGATGCCCTTGTCCTCCACTGGTCAGACTGGATCAATTACACCTTTCCCCCTCTACTACTGCTGCCACAAGTCCCCCACAAGATCAGAAGGGAGAAGACCACAATTATTCTGATCACCCCTTTCTGGCCAGGCCCTGTTCTGGTTTCCCCATCTTCTTCTCCTGTCAGCTTCTCCCCTGCTTCCTCTGCCAACTTTCCTGGAGCTGCTCATGCAACATGGCAGCAGGATCAGGCATCCTGATCCACAGATCCTTCATCTCAGAGCTTGGGTTTTTGGTTGGGCATCTTTGCTAGAATGGGAATGTTCGTTGGCAATACATCACTGGAGATTTTTAAGACCAGGTTAGACAAACACCTGTCAGGGATGGTCTAGATAATACTTAGTCCTGCTGTGAGTGCTGGGCACTGGACTAGAGGATCTCTTGAGGCCCTTCCAGTCCTATAATTCTAAGACATCTTCTCAAGCAGTAGGAAAGAGTCCACAAGGTATTCCTAGTGGGCCAAGTGGAAGCGCTACACCTCCTGGGCCCAATAGAGGGGCCTTGTCCCTGAGGACTTCCCTGTCTTTTGGACTACCTCCTCTTCTTAGTGCCTTCCATCCCCCCCACTTCCCCCGTGGAAGAGCACTCCCTATTTACGCATCTGTTGACTACCAGGTTTTGAAAGGGTCTCCTCAGAACCTTCCCCACCCATTCAACTTATTGCTCCCCAATGGGACCCCTACCTTGTTCTCTTGTCATTTAATGAAATTGCCCTTTGAGCCACTGGCTTCATGTCCCCTGTCCCTCCTTTCCGTGCCTTCCTGGAGCTATTACTTCCTGTGAGACGGATCAGTGAACTGGGGCAATGATGGGAGACCCCCCCTTTCACTGTGTTCCATAGTGACACAGTTCCTCTGCGCCAGCATCCCAAGTTTCTGCAAAGGTTGTTTCTTGCTTTCATCTCAACCAACCCATGCACTTATCTGCTTTCTTGCCGAAGCCTTATGCCTCAGCAGCGGAGCGGCGCCTTCACTCCCTCAACCTCCTCAGGGCCTTGGCCTTCTACCTGCAGAGGACAAGACCATTGAGGAAGTCCCCTAGACTGTTTATTGCTGTCACTGAAAGGATTAAGGGGCAGGCAATCTCCACACAGAGGATGTCTAAGTGGATTTCAGGGTGTATTATGCTCTGCTGTTGGTTATTGGGACAGCCTCCACTCTTTGGGGGGAGAGAGCCCATTCCACAAGAGCTCAAGCATCTACTACGGTCACCCTTCACAATGTACCGCTTTCAGACATATGCAGGGCAGCCATGTGGAGTTCAGTACGAACCTTCCTTGCTCATTACACTTTGGTGCAAAACTCTGGGAGGGATGCCTTGTTCGGCACAGCTGTCTTCCGGTGCACCATTCCATCCTCTTCCTTGCACCCTCCTCCAAATTAGGTACTGCTTGTTAATCACCCTCAGTGGAATACAGTAGGGACCATCGCTCGAAGAAGGGAAGATTACTTACCTGCAACTGGAGGTTCTTCAAGATGTGTGCTCCCTGTCTGTATTCCACTTCCCACCCTCCTTTCCCTCTGCTGCGAATCTGTTCAGTTTGTGGGGGAGAAGGAACTGAGGCTGTGGTCAGTCCGCCCTGCCTTTTATTACCTTGGACAAACCATGAGGCGAAGCAAGGGCAGATGTGCATACCAGTGAACACTACTACTTTCAAATTCTTGGCTCTGGACACATGGCGCATGTGTGAACCCTCAGTGGGATACAGATACGAGACCATGCATCTCGAAGAACCTCCTGTTACAGGTAAGTAACCTCTTGCGCCTTTGGTTTCAGGACATCGATATTAATACTGATGATGAGCTGGATGCATATATTGAGGACCTGATCACCAAGGGAGACTGAGCAGTCCCGACCCAGCACTGGCGAGCAGCATGGAGGAGTTGGTCCCTGTGATCTCGGAGGTGTGGAGTCCTGCAGTGGAGGGGACCCGAGCAGCGCATGAAAGGGGAGGGCCGTTCGACTGTGTATTATATTGATGTGTCGGTGTACAACCTGTTCTTGTGATTTTACATGCAAAAGACATTGGTGCTGTTGGCAGGACAGTTTTTAACATTGTAGTTCTTCAACTCTCTTCCCTTTGTTTATAAATATTTATTTTTTAAAAGAAACAGGAACTGTGCCTGGTCTGACGGGAGGTCAGCTGTGTTGTGGGGGGTGTTTTTTGTTTGTTTTTTAAGTACAGTAACAATGCAAGAACCTTTTTCCTTTTGGGGTATGTTGGAGATCTATGCCCAGTTCTTGGCACCAGAACATCCTATCCAGCACCTTGTAGCTGATGCCTCTTCAGATAAAGAAGGGAAAAATCTAGCACCACCTTAACGGAAACGCCTATTCTGAGGCCTCGAGGCACTGAGCAGAAGCTGGATGGGACGTGGACCTCAGGACTATGGTAACTGGGCCAAAGGAGGCTCAGAGCCAGGGTGTCTGTCTACACAAAGGGAGTGGCGCACACATTCGCCATGGATGGGGTGGGGCTTGAACCTTAACGACTCTGTAGCTGAGCATGGATGAGAGGTTTTCAGAGTCCTCACTACACAGCCATGGGGCATGGGGCTCTGTTAGCAGGCCCAGGAAACTTAGACCCACTGATGCTTTAATGGAGGGGGGGGGGGAGAAGAGGCTCACAGGAAGGGGACTGAGCCTGCGGGGGTCCTGGTACCTTGTGATTTCTCAGCGCAGGGAAGGGCGAGGGTTGGAGTGCAAGGTTCCTACCACTTCTACAGCCCCCTGTTGCACCGTCGTCACCCGGGCTGCCATTGTGAGATGTGAGTTGCAAGGGGCAGATGGACTCCCGGACCAGCTCAAAATAAAGCTGACCCTGTGTTCTAAGTGCCACGCCCTTGGCTCTTTCTTGCTTTGCTCCACTTGGACTCTTCCAGTTGTTTTTAAACAGAGCACTGGAAATGGAGCCGTTCCCCTTTGAGTCACTGGCTTGCACCCAGCCCCAGCTCAGCAGCAAGGAAGAGCCCTAGCCTCTCGAATGCGGGGGTTGGAGGCTGTATTTAAAAGTGGTTCTCAACCAGAGGTCTAGTGCCCCCTGGGGCACCACGAGAAGGCTTTGGGGGTCTGCCAAGCAGGGCCAGTGTTAGCCGCCCTGAAGCCTGGGACAGAAAGCTATAGCCCCACCTCCTAGGGCTGAAGCCCTGCCAACCGGGGCTGAAGATGAAGCCTGAGCATCTTAGCTTCATTGGGCTTAGGTGGCCCCTGGAGTTTTTAGAGCATGTTTCCAGGGGCCTTAGAAAGGAAAAGGCTGCGAACCCCTGTGGTGGGGGCCAGGGTCTGTCACAGAGTGGGCACCCCAGGCATGCTGGTACTGTGTTTATGCAATAGCCATCAGTGCTCACTAAGCCTCATCACTGCTCTTCGCTCTGTGCCAAAACTGCTCTAGGAAATGCAAATAGTGTTAACAGAAAAGCTCTTGGGAGAGGCACTGGCATTCTAGCAGGAGCGGCATGCTCAAGGTGACCTCTTCCTACAAGCAAAAACCAAGAAGGGAGATTGTGTTATAACTCTCAGATCACTGAGAAGTGTGTCAACTCCCAACATATTCAGCCTCCCTCTCCTGCACCCTCACCCTACTCCAAAAACCTCAGGTGTTTGGCCTCAGTAGGCACTGCGGCACTACAAATCATTGGAGGGCCATAATTTTCCTAACAAGGGGGAGGGATAGCTCAGTGGTTTGAGCATTGGCCTGCTAAATCCAGGGTTGCGAGTTCAATCCTTGAGGGGGCCACTTAGGGATCTGGGGCAAAAAATCAGTACTTGGTCCTGCTAGTAAAGGCAGGGGGCTGGACTTGATGACCTTTCAGGGTCCCTTCCAGTTCTATGAGATAGGCATATATTATTATTTTTTATTATTACCAACTACTTCCTGCTGAGCAAACTGCTGTTCTAATGGCTTCATGGCCTGTAGCAAACAGGAGCAGGATGTACTGCCCTGATCAGACTCTCCACCGCGATTCAAATAATAAAGCCTACGGGCCCCTCATCCAACAGGTCCAACAGCTGGACAATGCTAAAAGGATGTCAGCAACAGAAACCTCCCCAGGGAAAGTACTCAAAACCAGCAGATATTAACGAGGCCTGTAAATAATATGAGGCTAACGCTGTGGCTGTGTGAAGCCGAGGGATCCCTTCCCTTAGGGAAAATTAAAGCTTTTGTTTGGTGGGGGGAGGATTTGGCCACACAACCAAACCCAGCCTGGCTTGCTGAGGAATGCACAGAGAAATATGCAAGAGATGCAGAGCCCTCTGACCCCACAGCTGTTAGAAATGTCCAAGCAAATACTAGGAAAAATGTTTTCCCCTGGCGTAGAGGAGGTTCTGCCAAACCAGAAAGGGAACAAGAGATCCATCCATAGGGTCGGCTACTCCAACCCCACTAAAACCTGAACCCTCAGCAACTCGTTTCTGAAGAGTCGTAAAGAGTTAAACTCATGTAAACCGATGACCCGTGGTGAAAGGAAGAAGCATGTGGGTGCTGCTTTGGTCTCCTGGGTCCGTAGCCATCGCTTTCACAGTTGGTGGTGTGGATCCTCTGCCCTTCGGGTAGGTTAAAAACTAGCTCAGAGGTCAAAGCTGAGTGAATGTGCTGCATGTTGGAGTAGGGGCACTCGTGCTGCTAGTGGCAAAGAGAGGGGAGCCTTCAAAACCCTGGCGGCTCCTAGAGAGCAGTCACTAGTGTGGGGTCTCCACTAACCGTGAGGGTGCTCTAGACAAGTACTCACCCTGGACATTCTGCACTATGCCTGGCTGGGTGAGCCCCCCTGGGCACCTCAGCTCCCTGCACTATAACCTCCAGCCACCCTCCTGGACAGGTTCTTATACCGCCTTCCGCCTCGTGTTCCAGTGCCTTCCCGTGGTGCATGGAGCAATCTGACTGCCATCTGTCAGGTTTTCCCCCTCCCTCTCGCACAGGGAACTCACACACACTCCCCTCAGCTCCTGGACGTGCCGGCAATGCACTGAGCCACCGGGCTTACCGACCACCTAACATTACAGTAGAACCTCAGAGTTACAAACTGACTGGTCCACCAGACACCTCCTTTGGAACCGGAAGTACACAGTCAGGCAGCAGCGGCGCCAAAGAAAGCAACTACAGCGCAGTAATGCGTTCAGTGTGAGCTCCTACAAAATAAAGGGAAACTTTTATAAATAGGATTTGACAAGGTGAGAAAACAGTGCTTGTTTCATTTAAATTAAGATGATTAAAAGCAGATTTTTCTTCTGCATAGTAAAGTTTCAAAGCTGTATTAAGTCATTGTTCAGTTGTAAACTTTTGAAAGCGCATTTTGTTCAGAGTTACAACCAACCTCCATTCCCGCAGGTGTTCGTAACTGAGGTTCTACTGTACCCAAAACACCAAGCAGCTGTTGTGAGAACACGGCCAGCAGGTGGCGCCCAAGGCAAGAAGTAGCATTACTCGACCCCCTGACCAGGAATTTACTGAAGGTGCAGGACTGAGTTTTTACCCAGAGCACTTCTGCACCAGCCGTTTTCACACAGACTCCGATTTTAAGGCCAGAAGGGGACCATAATGATCATCGTTTGACCCCCAGCACCTGGCAGGCCACAGAACCTCCCCCACCCACTCCTGGAATCAGGGCCGGCTTAGGGAAGTGCGGGGCCCCGACAGGGATGACTTAAAAAAAAAAGAAAAAACCCACGTAAAAAACCACCTTTCATTTCTTCCATGTATTATTTACTTTCCATAACTATATAAATAATAACAAAATTATCTATTACATTGCGTAATGTATGCGGATGCATGCTAACCCTACCTAAAGTTCTTG